GGGCGAAGAGGGGTCGACTGTGAGGGGACAGAGCGCGCTGAGCACCGGCGACCAGGGTGAGAGGGCCTTCAAAGGGGGAGAAAGTAGGAAAGAATATGTGTACCTTGTCGTCAACAGAATCACCCGCACCATATCTTTAGAGACCATTAACTTGAAACCGTGAGCGTAAGAAGAGATTTTGGCATACTTAGTAATGACGAATTAAGTGTCAAAACACAGTGCTCTCAAGTTGCAACAAGAGTAATGTTGACTACGAGCACACTGATGATGATAAAGGTTAAGAGAGTGAGAAGTGAAACGACCAACGCCTTACACATACACCCAGCACCAGAAAGCCGGTGAGCGTGAGGAAATTGGAGGGTGGCAAAAATCATAATTCAAAGCGCGCGAGTGAATTGCTATCTGGCATTCTTTTTGCTCACAGATCAAGGCTCTGCCGACCAATGACCGTCTGCTGGTTATTCACATAATAACTGCTTTAATCTTGTCAATAAAAATGTGCGCCCGCACTTCAGTACGTGTTTCTTTAACTTTCAATATCATCACCAACATCTGACCAGTGCAAGCCAGTTTAAATGTGCATAAAACATATGCTTAAATAAAAGCACGACATTTTGCACAAAGAATTTACTCACCAGTGGATCCAACAGAAGCAAACAATCTGACTTGGGATGCTGGCGACAGAAACGGACAACATCCCTAACGAGTCTCACGGTCGAACCTCTCCAGAGAGGAATGTGAGCTGGGTAGTTCTTCTCCAAGTCCAAAACTTGCTGTGGCGCTAACAGCGGTGGCCACCGCGTTTGAAAGAAGATCCACTCAGCTGGTTTAAGCTTCTGCAATTTTCCAACTGCCTCATCGTAGTAGCCCTCGCAGTCTCTGCAGAGTCTATATGACCTGGTGTAGAGGTAATTAAGCGAGTCTTTGTCGGTGCCTGCGCTTTCTATATTAGATGTAAAGACCAAAATTTGGGTGAGGGATTTAAAACACATTAGAAGTTGCCTATTTTGTTCATTGAGTCGACTTGAGGGGCAAAGTGCTTTTTATTAGAAAAGAGTTCAGTTTATATCAGTATAATGGGCGGGGGGGGGAGGGGGAGAAAATAGGATTAGAATTGGGTCAAATCCACCGTCTTTCGATATCCTATGCTAGGAAAATATGTGGACTAAGACTTCTTCGTTGTTCCTGTTGCACTATAACAGAAAATTAATAAATACCGGAAACTTTTTAATTGTACGTGTTCAGAGAACAGCAAATGGGGTGAGCGCACACCTAGGCACATAGGCAGTGGCCAAAGTACTGACATTTTGTATTTGTACTTATTCTTGATCAATTTACCCTTTTTGCGCGCTCCCCTGCCTTAAACACATTTATATTCAAC